AAGGGTGGTGTCATCTGCATATCTAAGTTATTGATATTTCTCCCAGCAATCTTGATTCCAGGTTGTGCTTCTTCCAGCCCAGCGTTTCTCATGATGTACTCTGCATATAAGTTAAATAAGCAGAGTGACAATATACAGCCTTGACGTACTCCTTTCCTGATTTGGAACCGCGCTTTTATTCCATGTCCAGTTCTAACTGTTGCTTCTTGACCTGCATACAGATTTCTCAGGAGGCAGTCAGGTGGTCTGGTATTCCCATTTCTTTCAGAATTTTCTAGTTTACTGTGATCCACATAGTCAAAGGCTTTGGCATAGTCAATAAAGCAGAAGTAGATGTTTTTCTGGAAATCTCTTGCTTTTTCAATGATCCAACGGATGTTGGCAATTTGATCTCTGGTTCCTCTGCCTTTTATAAATCCAGCTTGAACATCTGGAAGTTCTCAGTTCATGTACTGTTGAAACCTTGCTTGGAGAATTTTGATCATTACTTTGCTAGCATGTGAGATGAGTGCAATTATGTGGTAGTTTGAACGTTCTTTGACATTGCCTTTCTTTGGGATTGCAGTGAAAACTGATCTCTTCCAGTCCTGTGGCCACTACTGAGTTTTCCAAATTTGCTGGCATATTGAGTGCAGAAGTTTCACAGCATCATCTTTCAGGATTTGAAAAAGCTCAACTGAAATTGCATCACCTCCACTAGCTTTGTTTCTAATGATGCTCCCTAAGGCCCACTTGACTTCGCACTTCAGGATGTCTGGCTCTAGGTGAGTGATCACACCATCGTGGTTATTTGGGTCATGAAGATCTTTTTTCTAAAGTTCTTCTGTGTATTCTTGCCCCCTCTTCTTAATGTCTTCTGCTTCTGTTAGGTCGGTCCGTACCATTTCTGTCCTTTATTGTGCTCATCCTTGCATGAAAAGTTCCCTTGGTATCTCTAATTTTCTTGAAGAGATCTCTAGTCTTTCCCATTCTATTGTTTTCCTCTCTTTCTTTGCACTGACCACTGAGGAAAACTTACTTATCTCTCCTTGCTATTCTTTGGAACTCTGCATTCAAATGGGTATATCTTTCCTTTTTGCCTTTGCCATTTGCTTCTCTTCTTTACACAGCTATTTCTGAGGTCTCCTCAGACAACCATTTTGCCTTTTTGCATTTCTTTTTCTTGGGGATGGTCTTGATCACCACTTCCCCTACAATGTCATGAACCTCCATTCGTAGTTCTTCAGGCACTCTATCACATCTCATCCCTTGAGTCTATTTCTCACTTCCACTGTATAATCAAAAGGGATTTGATTTAGGTCATACCTGAATGGTCTAGTGGTTTTCCCTACTTTCTTCAATTTAAGTCTGGATTTGGCAATAAGAAGTTCATGATCTGAGCCACAGTCAGCTTCTGGTCTTGTTTTTGCTGACTATATAGAGCTTCTCCATCTTTGGCTACAAAGAATATAGTCAATCTGATTTCAGTATTGACCATCTGATGATGTCCATGTATAGAGTCTTCTCTTCTCTTGTTGGAAGAGGGTGTTTGCTATGACCAGTGCATTCTCTTGGCAAAACTCTTAGCCTTTGTCCTGCATCATTCTGTACTCCAAGGCCAAATTTGCTTGTTACTCCTGGTATTTCTTGACTCCCTACTTTTGCATTCCAGTCCCCTATAATGAAAAGGACATCTTATTTGGGTGTTAGTTCTAGAAGGTCTTGTAGGTCTTCATAGAACTGTTCAACTTCAGCTTCTTCAGCATTACTAGTCAGGGCATAGACTTGGATTACTGTGATATTGAGTGGTTTGCCTTGGAAACGAACAGAGATCATTCTGTCATTTTTGAGATTGCACCCAAGTACTGTATTTTGGACTCTTTCATTGACTATGATGTCTATTCCATTTCTTCTAAAGGATTCTCACCCACAGTAGTAGATATAATGGTCATCTGAATTAAATTTGCCTATTCCAGTCCACTTTAGTTCACTGATTCCTAAAATGTCGACGTTCACTCTGCCATCTCCTGTTTGACCACTTCCAATTTATCTTGATTCATGGACCTAACATTCCAGGTTCCTATGCAATGTTGTTCTTTACAGCATCAGACTGTACTTTCACCACCAGACACAGACACAACTGGGTGCTGTTTCTGCTTTGGCCCCATCTCTTCATTCCTTCTAGAGAAATTTCTCTGCCCTTCTCCAGTAGCATATTTGACACCTACTGACCTGGGGAGTTCATCTTTCAGTGTCATATATTTTTGCCTTTCATACTGTTCATGGGATTCTCAAGGCAAGAATACTGAAGTTGTTTGCCATTACCTTCTCCAGTAGACCCTGTTTTGTCAGAACTCTCCACCATGACCCATCTTTCTTTGGTGGCCCTACATGGCATGCCTCACAGTTTCATTGAGCTAGAGAAGGCTGTGGTCCATGTCATCAATTTGGTTAGTTTTCTGTGATTATGGTTTTCAGTCTGTCTGCCCTCTGATGGATAAAGATAAGAGACTTGTGGAAGCTTCTTGATGGGAGGAACTGGCTATGGGGAATCTGGGTCTTGTTCTGATGGGTGGGGCCATGATCAGTAAATCTTTAACCTAATTTTCTGTTGATGGGTGGGCCTGTGTTCCCTTCCTGTGGTTTGGCCTAGGCCAAACTATGGTAAGGGTAATGGCAGTAATGGCAACCTCCTTCAAAAGGACTTATGGCACATGGCTCCCAGGACTGTTTTATTCAGTGCCCCTGACCCCACAGCAGGTCCCGCTGGAGACTCCTGGACACTCACAGGCAAATATGGCTCAGTCTCTTGTGGGGTCACTGCTCCTTATTCCTGAGTCCTGGTGAACAGAGGGTTTTGTTTGTGCCCTCCAAGAGTCTGTTTCCCCAGTCCTGTGGATGTTCTATAATTAAATCCCACTGGCCTTCAAAGTCAAATTCCTTGGGAGTTCTCAGTCCCTTTGCCAGATCCCCAGGTTGAGGGATCTGTTTTGTGGCCCTAGAACTTTTGCAATAGTGTGAGAATTTCTTTGATATAATTCTTCTCCAGTGTGTAGGTTGTCTGCTCGGTGGCTCTATGCTGGGGCTAATGATGACCTCCTCTAAGATGTTTTATGCCACATGCCACGCCTCCCACGTCTGCTGCAGCCAGAGCCCCTGTCCCCACGGGAGGCCACTGCTGACCTGTGCCTCTGCAGGAGATATTCAAACACTCAAAGGCAGGTCTGGCTCAGTCTCTTGTGGGGTCTCTGGGTCCTGGTGCATACAAGGTTGTCTTTAATCCCTATTCATACTTAAATGATCCTTAATTTCTTTCTATGGAAGGTCACCAATAGACAAGAACATGAATCAATTATTTTCCTGGCCAGGTACATTGGGGACACTGTTGGTATTTAAACAGCTCATGGAAAAATATGTCAAGGCTATAAATAAGTTCTCTGTACACTTGAGATCGTGAATATTGTTTATGATCTGTGCCAAGAACATAAACTGATTAGGAAAATTCCCATATATTCCTGAGGCAGCTGTGATTTAAACCAAAGAAGATACTGACTTTTCCCATGAAGTAACATTAACAACTAATATTATACCAACTGTCAAAAAGTGCAGTGGTCTCACATCCCTTTATTAAATACAAAGTTGATGATATTAGGAACTTTATATGTATTACAAATATGTATACCATCCAGGAAGCACCGTTGCTAAAGTGAAGTGAATCCAGGCAATGGTCGAGAGTTCTGTGCTTCAGGGAACACCAGCTTTCTGGCAAACTGACACATAACTGGTGGAGGCAGCCCAAAGGAGATAAGGCAAGTAATGATCTCATAAGTAATCAATAAGAAAAACTGTTCCCTACTGAAGTGTACACAATTGGTTCATAAACTGTACCCTTTTGTGACGTTTCTATTCCTTTAACAGTTTCATTTGGGTGATAACAATGTTGCAATGGGGAGGAGAGTGTGTTTGCTGGAGACCCATAGTGATTAGATCTGGCTAAAACTTCCTGTGGAAGCCTGAGGGTCACTGGAAGCTTGTCTGCCCTGTGGTAATATAAAATAGCCATTAGTGATAGGAGATTGCCCAGCAGTCACGGAATGACAGAGAAATAGCCTGATTATTAAATATGGCCTAGAACTGAGCAGGAGTTGAGACATCACCTCTGATAGTATTAGTACTGGTCTGCAGGGGAGGAGCTAATGAATTTCTAGTGAGGTATGACATGAGGATTGTTTCTTTAAAGTTCCATTCTATCTGGTTGCCTGGGTGATTCTGGGCAATCTGTACACACAGATAGCACAGAGAAGGAAACAGGCTCCACTCTGAGTGCTAACAAAATAAGTAAGTACAGTATTTATGTGATGGGTTTGGTCTTTTCTTCACTGTTGGGTGTTACTCAGTTATCCAGGATTGATTAGGAAGAGTCTCATAAATCACAGGTGTGGTAAGAGTCTTAGGGAGGGTGGAGGAAGGAGGAGGTGTTGGGTGTTGAAAGGTAGGCTGATTAGGGCAGAAAGGAAACTTGGCCTTCCCCACAACTGTAAAAGAGAAGGTATGGGACTTCGCTGGTGACTCAGTGGTAAAGAATTCGCCTGCGAATGCAGGGGACATGGTTTCAATCCCTGGTCCAGGAAGGTCCCACGTGCTGTGGGGGAAACTAAGCCCACAAGCCCCAACTACTGAGCCCACACTTAAGAGCCCGTGCTCTGCAACAAGAGAAGCCATGGCAATGGGAAGGCCATGTACCACAACAAAGAAGTTGATGGTCATAAGGTGTGATTTGAAGGGCAGGAGGTGAGTGAACCCTCCCTACACACCCAGGTAGTTTCCTTATTGACACTTCAATCCCACCATCAGAGACTCATCACTTTGGCTCAGTGGTGGTCATTCCCTGCGGTTCTTTGTGACTATCTCAACATTTTTTAAAGTTCCCAAATTCTCAAATTGAAGAGATTTATCAGATCTCAATCCCCTACTCATAAAGGGGGACTTTGGAAGAACACTGGGCTCTTGAAGCAGAGGCTAGGAAAAGGTAATAAGGCAGTACTGAAAAGAGGGAGGGGGAGGTCTAGTAGACACCTGGTGGGATGTCTCCTTTGCTCACTCGACTGATCTCCTGTTTTGCTGGGAGGTCTTTTGAGAATCTCCTGGATTGCTGATAGTTTCTAGTGGAGATTGAATGGCTGGCCCGGAGAAGGCAATGGCAACCCACTCCAGTACTCTTGCCTGGAAAATCCCATGGACAGAGGAGCCTGGTAGGCTGCAGGACATGACTGAGCGACTTCACTTTTACTTTTCACTCTCATGCATTGGAGAAGGAACTGGCAACCCACTCCAGTGTTCCTGCCTGGAGAATCCCAGGGATGGGGGAGCCTGGTGGGCTGCTGTCTATGGGGTCACACAGAGTCGGACATGACTGAAGCGACTTAGCAGCAGCAACAGCAGAATGGCTGACCAAGTGAGAATGGCTGCCCATCACAAACACTGTTATCTCATCTCCCTGACCATAAAGTCTGGGGTGCCCAGAAGTATTCCCTCATCTTGTGGAAGGTGTCCGTGTGGGATGGAGCCTGAGCAGGCTCTGAAGACATGCTAGTTTCCTGAGCAGATGGCCTAGACTCCCCTGTCACCTCTTCCTGCCACCCTGCGGCCCCTCCTCAATCCATACCTGTGGCCTCATGGTAAGTTACCTATGACCAAATGACTTAAGATCAAAAAGAGATATATGAGCCTGGTTTACACAAAAGTTTGCATAGATAAGATGGTACCATCTGAAAGTAGAGGACTGCAATGCTACAACCCCACTATAGGATACCCTGCAGAGACACTAGGGAAGGGAAATCTTCTCAGTGGACAGCACTTTGAGTAACACATCTGGTTGTCCACTGTAGCCTGAGGTACAGATCTACTCCAATTCACAGGCAATCCAATGGGTTGTCCAGGGACTTAGAACAAGTTCCTAACAGCAATCTAAATATTGCTACTTGAAAAACCTGAAATTTTATCTACTTAAAAACAACATATAAAACTCAGAAGTAACTCAATAGAACATCCAATCCTCTCATTTTCCCCCAGGGAGAATAAGGTCCAGAGACTGTACATGATTGGTCCCAAAGGAACTCCAGATAACCGACAGAATTGACTCCTCCTGGATCTCAGTTTAGGGCTCTCTCCACAATAGCACATCCATAATCACTCATTCCTTTGTCAACATTCCTTTAGTTTCAACAATGTGTTATGCTCTTCCCCAGAAAACAGGCATAGAGATAAATAAGGCATGGTCCCTGCCCTCAAGAAGCCCTTGTGTTTTCTGTGTTTTGTGCATGCTGGTGTATTATGTGTGGCGACGAGAAAGAAGTGAAACCATAAGGGCAAATACTTTTTCAAGTAGGGCAGACTAAATCCTGGTGGAAGAGGGTCAAATGGAATTACAAATGCTAGAAAGTGAGCCAGTAAGAACTATATGACTTAAAATAAAACAGACACCAACAGAGATACTAATTAATTCAAGGTTGGATTTGATTGTTAAGGGAAGTTTGCCTCACTATCACTGCTGGGAAGAGAGCCATTTCTAATGGATTTTGATGGCATCATGCCTGAGCCCGAGTACCTGAATGTTGGCCTGGGTGAAATAAAATTTGAATTAGTTGATCAGGAACACTGAAGGATGGCACAATCTGCTATTACTTTAAATAACAGAAAGTGACTGAAATAGGGCCATTGAGGATCCAAAGAGTTTACTAACTTTCAGATCTGAGTTTCAAATTCTATTATTTGATTCCTTAGGAAGCTCCATTCCCTCCCTCAGTTGACTTTTCTCACAATAACTAGACAAGATAGACTGCTCACTCCTCTCCATCCACATCATCTAAAACTGTTTGACTGGATCTCTCACCTCTCAGCCTTCTTCCCTGTCTTAGAAGGGACACCTGAGAGCCCCCCATTCTCCAGTCCATCTTCTCTTAATCCATTTCATAACCAGCTTCCCCAATCATCTTTTCTTTCTGAAATCTTTAGCTCCTCTTTCTACAGACTCTTTCCCCTCTATGCTTTTATATTTTATTAATTTAAATTTATTTTTATTCAGAGGATAATTGCTTTACTTGGGTGCAATCTCAAAAACAACCGAATGATCTCTGTTCATTTCCAAGGCAAACCACTCAATATCACAGTAATCCAAGTCTATGCCCTGACTAGTAATGCTGAAGAAGCTGAAGTTGAACAGTTCTATGAAGACCTACAAGACCTTCTAGAACTAACACCCAAATAAGATGTCCTTTTCATTATAGGGGACTGGAATGCAAAAGTAGGAAGTCAAGAAATACCAGGAGTAACAAGCAAATTTGGCCTTGGAGTACAGAATGATGCAGGGCAAAGGCTAAGAGTTTTGCCAAGAGAATGCACTGGTCATAGCAAACACCCTCTTCCAACAAGAGAAGACTCTACACATGGACATCACCAGATGGCCAACACTGAAATCAGATTGATTATATTCTTTGCAACCAAAGATGGAGAAGCT